TACCTTCCAATTTGCCATCTGGAGCAATCTAGATCGGTGCTAATGAAAATATAGCACAAGCCGTATACTGAATGTGGCTATTGAATTCCCTGGTCTTAATTCCTGTCATTTTCCCTCTAAGCCCTGATCATTGAGTCACTGTCTTCCAAAATCTGATGTTGCTGAGATCATTTATATGTCCAGTCTAATTTATTTTTTGTTTTTCTGCTTGGATATTTAATTCTTTATCCTTAAAGAACACCCTACTAATCTTATTGGCGGGGGGTGGGGGTGGGGAGGGTTGTTTGTTTTTTCAGAAGATGATGAGACTTTTCACCTGCCAATGCAGATGTCCTTTTACTTTGGAAGTTTTCATCTAATTCTGTGTTTTCTCAACTAAAAAACATATTATTTTACATTTCAGTCTTTCTCAAACTGCAAAATATCTTCTGACACATTCATTTAATATAATTTTATTGTTCCGTTTTATTTGCCCAAAGGTGATTTTTAAATCAAAGATACATCTTGAAATTCATGATAGTTTGAGATCATAGAAATACAATATGTTTTATATTTATTTTCAGTTCCCTTTTGTTGTTCTGTCTTTTTTTTTTCCAGAAAATTCACACAGTCTGATGCTGTTTCTCTCTTGTTCTCCATCACTATTATTCAAACCACTTTTTTCTCTTTGTCCTTGCCCTCTGCAATCTATGCGATTTTTTCCCCCAAAGTTGTCCTCTAAATCAAAATCTAATTTTCCACAAGGCTGACTTATACCTTCTAATTTGGGTTTTGGTTTTATGTCACTTCTGTGCTTTCCTTGGCTTTGTCTTTCATTACCTCTTACATTTCTTAGAGTTTAGAGTAATTTTCCTCTGTTTCCTGGAATAATTCTTAATCTTTGTCTTGCATATAACAGTGCTTCTTTTTTTCTTGGGAGTATTTTTGCATAAAACCAATACTGGTACCTTGGGTTTTCTGTGCCGCATCTGAATGTGTGTTTGGGGCAAGGATGGGGGGTAAAGTTCAGGCAGCAGCGATCCAACAGGACTTGGTCCTACACATTTCACATTCATAGTCCTCAGCTATTTTATAATTTGTTGTTATTGAGAATACACATTTTCCTATCATTATACTCTCAGCTGCTTGTTACTACCGAAATTTATTTTGTAGTCAGCTATCTTAATTAGCTCTATTAATTTCCAATTTTTTCTCTTAGCTATGATCTATCTGAAGCACCAAGGCCTTGCCGCATGCATTTATTTCTTATTATGTACCAGTCACTATTTCTTGTTTTTTATCTTACAACATCTCTATGAGTACTACTATTACCCCATAAGACAGAAGAAAAAAGTGAAGTTAAATGTCTTACCCAAGTTTACACTGCTAGCAAGTGATTAAATGCTGATTTGAACCCAGGTATATGGGCTCTTAAATCATTAAATCATCTTTAATTATTAAATTACAACATTTCATTATGTTATCTCCCTCTTTCCAATTTTTTTTCTTGCCTTATTGCAATGGTAAAAAGGAAGTATACAAAGTTAACTTCATTCTCTCATTTTTTTCTACAACCTGACCCATCCCCATTAAGGAGATTAAATGGGTGCCAGAAAGGTAAGGTCTACAGAAACTGTGTGCTAACTGAGCATATGCTCTTAGACAAAGGCTTAATAATTCTAAGCCTCAACTTCCTTATCAATGAAATGGTAATAAACACACATAAACACACACACACACACACACACACACACACACACACATATTTTTTACCTCTCAGGATTATTGTAAGATTTAAATATAGCCATTTATGTAAACTGCTTCAAGACCTAGACAGAGATATTATTACCAGCACAATTTCACACCCAGAGCACTTCTATTTCAGGGGCCTGTCTGCTTGACTTGAACATCCTCAAGCCATCCAGTTGCCTAGAAACATGATCACATTTTCTCTACCACTTTGTACTCCCCAATGCACACACATCTACGCCCCACTATCCACCACAACCACTGTCATTTTCCAATCTCCAAAGAACTGTTCTTGTCCTGTGTCCATGTTTGGTAAACTTCTAGCTGCCTATTCATTACCTCATCTTCCCTCTTTATCCATAGAACCTCTATACTGATGGTTAGGGCAATGTGCTTAGCTATAAAAACACATTTCCAAACCTCCTTTGTAGCTAATGTTAGCTAGTGAAATATACACTGAAGGTGCTTGAACCAGCAGAAGAGTAGGTCTTTTTGCATGATGATTATACCCATATGACTGATAAAGAAACAGAGGCTCAGAGTGGTGGTACAGCTTGTCCCAAAACTTGCAGTCTCTCTGACTGCAAAGATGATATTCCTTCCACTGAACTACATTGTCTTTATAAAGTTCTCATCCCACTATTCTGGTCTCTTCATGTCCTTTATTATCTTCCAAAAATTAGTTAACCATGCTAAGGAAGAAGGCTCAAAGTGTCACTTGGGTCCATCAAAGAAAGCAGAAATTTTTTTTAAATTTTTAATGTTTTTATCTTATTTTTGAGAGAGAGAGAGACAGAGCATGAGCAGGGGAGGGGCAGAGAGAGAGGGAGACACAGAATCTGAAGCAGACTCCAGGCTCCGAGCTGTCAGCACAGAGCCTGACGCAGGGCTCAAACTCACAGACTGTGAGATCATGAACTGAGCTGAAGTCGGACGCCCAACCGACTGAGCCACCCAGGTGCCCCAGAAAGCAGAATTTTACAGTTGCTTTTCAGAGACCAAGTCTTGAATTATGGTATGCCCCCAAAACATGGCTTGAAGGATTAGAATGTGAGCAGGTCAAGAGAATCTAGAGCAGGACCACAGGGCACTGGTGATTGACAACAGTGACAAAAATGCTGGCAACTGCCCGTGCCCCACCAGCTTGTCCTTCCTCATAAGGTAGGCACGCATCTCATTTGTATCCTAGGTCCCAGCTTTGCCCAGCGCCTATCACCTCCTCTGCACCTGCTCAGAGAGGTCCTGGATCTGAGATCCTAGGAGATTGGCGGGGGATCCGTAAAGCAAACAGCAATGCCATGAAAAGTATACATCTCAAGTCCCGTCCCCCACTCTCAGAGCTACAGGGTTCTGGATAAATGCTCCAGGGTTAAAAATTATTCTTTTAGAAGGTGAGTTGAACTTGAAGAAGGGAAATAACAACATAAAATATGACAAAAATAAGACCTATGTTGCAAACCTTACAATCCATTATAAAAGGATGCTGAGTATACGCTCTTTGAATTCTTATGAGCAAGCACTGTATGTAGTCATGATTCGGGATAAGGAATATTTACAATGGCAAGCTTAGTTTTCACAGGCACATGACATTCCTAGCAGTAACTTGTAATTTTAACGGACATTTCCAAAGTTGTTTTCAAAACAGAAGTGAGCCTTTGAAATCTGTGAGGAAGCTTCTGAGATGTCTTAACTTAAAACATGCATACATAATTAACTATGATCATTGTATTAAGTATTTCTCTACTTTAACATATTAATAAGAAATTCAATATTGTAACCATACGGCAAGTAGGGAACTCTGGGGAGACATTTTGGAATAATGCTGGCAAGTACCACATCAAAAGCATACATCCTGCATCCACCCATTGAAAAGAAGGGAAAACTGAGAAATATCCACAGAGATTTTTTCCAGAGTCTCAGAACGACTCAGTAGTAGATTTAGACCTAATATTTAAATTAAGCCACCAAAGGAGAATAAAAAAACACAACTAACAGCAAACCATTCATAAAACCTTCTTCATCAACTATTTCATGAGTAAGGATCTCAGCAGTGATGAAGAGCCCAGCTGCCTTATCTGCAAGAACAGTTCAGAACCTTGGACATCAGGGAACAGTATAATTTGGGTAACAATGGCATCCATAATTGTTTCCAAGGGGCTTTCCCATAGCAACTGATTTCTTCTCAGAGTTTGTATAAGGTAGCTAGCTCTGGTATTGGACTCATCAGAGATGATAAATTGTCTTTCTCACTGACTCCTAGAAAAAAATCTCAGGATCCCGGGGTGCCTGGATGGCTCAGTCTGTTAAGTATCCAACTCTTGATTTTGGCTCAGGTCATGATCTCACTGAGATTGAGCCCCATGTCAATTTCTGTCAATTTCTGCTCTGTCAGCCCAGAGCCTACTTGGGATTCTCTCCTCTCCCTCTGCCAGTCCTCCCGTTTGTGTGCATGCTGTCTCTCAAAATAAATAAATAAACATTAAAAGAGAAATCTCAGGATCCCTATATATTCTACTTATAAAATGTATCAAGTAGACTTCAATAGGAACATCAAAAAATATGTCTTGCCAATGTGAGCTTTTCTTAAGAACTCATAAAATAAATACATATCTTTAGAATATCTAATCTGGCATTCTGGGTTAAAAACAATTAACAAAAATTAACTTCAGAAGGAGCACTTAAATACCCAAACCCAAAATAAATGTGGAGAGAAGCACTACACCAATGACAAAGATCTTGGTTAAAGGAAAAATATACCAACAGTTTGAAGATTTTAAAAGTACAAAACTCCCTCCTTCACTTTGAAAGAACCTTGCTTGGAACCTTGCACATAGTAGAAACTCAGTAACATTTCTTACAGCCCTGAGCGGCTGTTTTGAGGAAATCAAAGATCACAGTTCACAGTTTGACACGGAATAGCAATTCCCACAAACCAAGAGTGTTTCAAAGTTCTTACTGTGCCTTTATATATCCCAGCATCTAATGCCTCATGGTTTATCCTCCCTGCACCCCTTTCGGTTTACCTGGGGGGTTCCTGCATGGAGTGAGGGGCCCAAATCTTAGACTAAATGACCTCCAAGTCAGGGGGGTAGCAAACGTTAGCTGCATCAGACCCTCCTGGAGGGCTTGAGAAAAGACACAATCCTGGGCCCCATACCTAGAGGTTCTGGTTCAGCAAGTCTGGCTTGGAGCGCATGAAGTTGCATCTCTAAAAAGGCCCCCGGGACGGAGATGCTGCTGGTCCTTGGTCCTTTCCAATTCTAAAAACCTAGGCTTCAAGAGCCTCGTCTCCCACCGTTTGAGAGATTCCTTCAAGTCCGGGATTTTAGGTGCAAAATCACCGGAAGGGGACAATCCCACCCACGCCGAAGTACCTGCGCTCTCCTCCCGCCCACTTCGGGCCGCAAGCCCCCACGCACGTCACACTCACCGAACTTCCCGGGGTCTGGGGCCCCTCAGAACCCCAGAGACCAACCCCAGCTCTGCAGAGGGCCGTGGGGCGCCCGCTGCGGGCCGGAGGGAGCTCGCAGGAAGCCCGGGTCCGCGCTGCGCCGCAGCAGGTGGTACCGAGCAAGCGAGCGCCGCCAGCCCCGCAGGCCCTTTAAAGCCGCCGCTGACCCCTGACCTTGGCCTGGCTCCCCTGCGCGCTGGGGCTTTTAAGGGCTCTCGGGTTTTCTTGTGAGTGTCCAGAGGAGCTCCAGCTGTGTGTTGGCTTAGCAGCGATTCCGGAGAAGCCAAAGGCTGCCAAAAGAATTTAAAAAGTTCCTGAGAAACCGAGGGCAGCCTTTATCTGCGGCCACTGAGCTGAGGTCACTGCTGCTGCTTGGGCTGAGGGCTTACTAATTGGCTCCAACGGTTTACTCACTTGGTGGTGGCTTCAGAGCCCACCTGCAGAGAAGCAGAGGAAATTCCCAAAGAAGGTCGAATTCCCAAAGAGAAGGAGTACCTATGCTAAGGGTAGCAGTTCTCTCCAGGAGCTTCCAGGAAGGGCAAGGCTGGGAGGTGGAGAAGGAACAAAAATGAAGATGCGATTTAGCACATAGATCACACCGAAGAACTTGGAAAGCACTGCCTGTTCTTAGATGAACCGCTTGTTGGTTTGTTTGTTCCCTTGTTTTCTGTGGGCAGGTACTCACAGCTGAGATTTTATATGCTCACACGTTCCCAGCCTGTGCGCTTGAATTCAGTCTATCGGAGCCCCGCTTCAGCCTGCCAGCCTTTTCAGGCTGATGAAGAGACACGCTGAAATTACTCACACGGATGAGAGTTTACGGAAAAGCCAAGAGGACACAAGAGAGATGTGAGCTCCCCCTCACTGGGCATGGACCTCTGAAGGCACAGGGCGCCTTGATTCCAGGACGGCTTCCGACGTCCATTAGGAACTTTCCAAGCATTTCTCAGAAAGGATGGGGTTGGAAGGATGGAGAGAAGGAAGTTGAATGAAGGCACTCACGACTTTTCCCTTTTATTATCTTTTTTTTTTTAAACAAAGGGAACACAAATATGAGTAAACTAACAACTTGTTTTTTTTTTTTAATTATCAAGGTGGGGGGGATAGTTTTCCTCAGAAGACGGTGTATTTGCTCGAGGCCAAAGTTGTCCTGGACTTCTGGAATCCACTTAGTATAGTCGGGATTACAGGGTGTTTGAAATCCTGGACTTGAACACAGTTCTGTTCAATTTGGGGAGGAGGCCTCAGCCAGGACCACAGGGGTCTGCTCCCTTGACTCCTCTCTCCTGAGGGTGTGTGTGTGTGTGTGTGTGGCGTGTGTGCTGGGGGATGGGGAGGGTGCTGTGAGTAGTCACTGTTCCTGGCACCACCCACCAGGCCTGTCCTGACTGTCAGACCAGCCTCAACAGCCCTCCAAGGACTATAACGAGAACCAACACACCCCAACAAAAGCAGAATGGTTGGAGGCGATGGGAGGCTGTGCTCTTTGTACGCTGCCACGTAGCCTTGTTTCTAGAACATAATCAGGAAAAGCACTCCAGGTTCCATAGAATGGTTTCCCTGGTTGAGATGCACTCCCCACCCACCCCAAGACCCACCCTCTAATATCAGTGAGTCTCAGATTCTGTTCAGACTGTCATGGGGAATATGCCCTTGGCCGTCAGAGTGAATCCCAGAGAGTGACACTGAGGGCTGGCTGCAAGCTCCAAAAGCCGGCGTCTTGGGGACAAATTACACTTGCAGTTCACGTTCCTGCCTGGCCCCAGCGGACGCTTTGCTGGAGCTGTATCCATACACCTCCAGGGGCCAAAGATTTATTAATTGAGCCTCCCTCCTCAACCCAGAGTAAAATCCCAAGGGAGGAAAGGAGGCCATTTCACTTCAGGAGAAGGGTGGGGCCCTTTCTTCACAGTGAGCGAAGAAGTATTCAAATAGCATTGGAGTCAAAAGGAGGTTGGCTTTCTTGAGTAGGGTTTCTGGAAAGTATCCTTGTAGGGATGTTTTTACTTACAAATACAATTCCAGTTTAGTTTCCGCGACCACAATATGATACAAAAGGGGCTTTGGGGATCTACAACCTGTTCCACAGAATTCAACACGTCCCTTTCCTTTCTTTTGCTTGTAAAATTTAAACAAGCCTTTTCCCTAGAGAAATTATAATGCAAAATTTGTCTTATATTAAGAATTACACGGGCGCCTGGGTGGCTCGGTCGGTTGAGCGTCCGACTTCAGCTCAGGTCATGATCTCACGGTCTGTGAGTTGGAACCCCGCGTCAGGCTCTGTGCTGACAGCTCAGAGCCTGGAGCCTGTTTCGGATTCTGTGTCTCCCTCTCTCTCTGCCCCTCCCCTGCTCATGCTGTGTCTCTCTCTGTCTCAAAAATAAATAAACGTTAAAAAAAAAAATTAAAAAAAAATACCTTAAAAAAAAAAAAAGAATTACATTTCTCCTACTAAGGATGCGTTAATCTCCTTTAATTTGTTTCACAAAGTAGCAGTTTAAGCTGAACATTTGAAGGAATTCAGGCACTAAAATCCCCAAGTTTCAATTTCTTAACACAGAAAATAGCCTAATTGGACTTCTATTACATGTATCTGACTTTGGCTTCACCGGCCGTTTTCTCTAGAAAAGGAAAAGTTATCGAATAAAAGAAAAGAAATCCAAAATTTCAAAATTGTGGAAAGAGTATTAAATGTTTTGGAGAATGTAGTTTCTAAGTGTGGTGTCTGTCCTATTAAATGGGGCCCCCAAATGTGGGCGGAAAATGGCGCAGGCAGTAAAAGAATTCACCAGAGGCGGAATAAAGGAGATAGTAGTTTACTGAACATACCGCAAAGGAATGGTGAGCAGGATAGGAAAAGAGAGGCTGGCTGTCTGCAAGCAAGTGGTGGGTGGGAGCTGTTTTTAAAGGGGGAAGGTGAGGGGCGCCTGGGTGGCGCAGTCGGTTAAGCGTCCGACTTCAGCCAGGTCAGGATCTCGCCCTCTGTGAGTTCGAGCCCCGCGTCAGGCTCTGGGCTGATGGCTTGGAGCCTGTTTCCGATTCTGTGTCTCCCTCTCTCTCTGCCCCTCCCCCGTTCATGCTCTGTCTCTCTCTGTCCCAAAAATAAATAAACGTTGAAAAAAATTTAAAAAAAAAAAGAAAAATAAAGGGGGAAGGTGAGGAGGTATGGGGACGGTGAGGAGGTATGGGGACGTATGGAATTTTCTCTTTTTTGGTAACTATTCCTGGTTGTAAGTAGCCAGTTGGTTAGTTAGACCTATGCATACTTTGAGGTGGGTCACTGGGACCTATTTGTATCAGCCAGGGGGTCGCTGTGGGCACTTGCCACATTCCATTGCTGAATCCTGTTGCCTAAAAGCATCCTCTACAGAGAATTCTCCACTAGTTATATTTGCTTTTCGTTAACCCAACCTCTACAGTCTGGGATTTCTGCAACTGTTTTAAATAACGAGATAACATCACCATTAGCAATATCAAATTGCATTCTAGTCTGCATTCCTTAGTTCCCACTGAGAAATACTGGTGGCATTTCCAAACATGTGAAACCAGTATGACCAGAAATATGCAGGATGATTTTGGATGGGAGATTATTTAAATGAACATGATTGACTTTCTCCTTGATACACTCATTATTATTAAGAGATAGGGGGAAAAAACCACATTCCTTTCACCAAGCGACACTTGGTGTTACTCTCCCATGCCTGCATACAGGTAGATAGAAAAATTAATAAAGAAAATGTAATATCGATAACTAAGCCAACATGCTTTCCTGAGTGAGTCCTTCTTGCGCTGTTTCCCAAGTAACTTCAAAATAATCCATATGCTATTGTGGCACATTTTGGGGTGGCCTGCCCTGCTCTTACAGTAAGAAGAAGTCTAAAGCCTCAAAGTACAAGTTCCCTTGACCTATGCCGCCAGGATAATAATTATGAGACTTTCTAAATAGTCCAAAGCTGATTTGAGTTTTGTTTCTCCACCTTGATTTCAAAGGTTATAAAAATACGCCAAAATATCTTCGTGAAAATCCTGTTGAACAAGAATAATGATTTTATTATGTATTTCCAAGCTATTATGGGAAACGTGCTCTCCCTGTTCATGCAACATCGCGTGAACCATAACATGAGTTTTGATAGTGACATGACTTAAACTGGCAGAGATCATTGTGTTTGCCACACAACAATGTCATAAGAATTCCATGCAATGCTGTATTTGTGTGTCTTCACATCATGGCTGAGAGCTTAATCTTAACGCTCACTAATAGAGGTCTTGATGGCGAAGCATTCCTCCGTGAGAAAGAACGTGAATATTTTAGACATGGCAGAATTCTAGGCTGACATCTTCCTTGCCCTTGCCTGAAGTGGGCAGGGCACAAAGTTAGTGAAAGAGGAGCTGTAAGGATCAAGGACAGACAGGGCCCTGCAGGAAGTGGGAGTGCACATATACCCCAAACCCAGTGGAGTTGCAGATGACCCCAAATAAGAAAGGACACAAGCACCGTAGATGCTTTCTCGTTACTCGTAATGCAAACACTGGGTAGCAGGCAAGCCCTGTCACTCACTGTAGGCTGTGCCCACCTGTCTTCAGCTACCATGGAGGAGAAAGCAGTGTTTGCTTTTTGCATATATGTATACAAACACACACACACACACACACACACACACACACACACAATGCACATCTATCTATCTATATACACATATATATACACACACACATATACGTTATTTTATATGTATTACTTTGGCCTGAGAGGAATAATAGAAGAAAGGAGGCAGGTTGAAACACAGAAAATACAGCCTGATGATTATGGATTTCTGCTCTTGATTCAACATGGGCAAGCAGGAGAATTTTTGCTTTAAGAGTTTCACAGTCTGTCAGGTTCTCAAAGGCCAATGAAATCATGAGACCCAGGTATTTGGCATAAAAGTCAGCGGCATCAAGGAAGGTGTTAAGGCACAGCCCAACAACATACTGATGTGGCTGCAATCTGTCTTTGACGTTCCATAACCTGCACTTTGTATCCTTTAAGGCTTCCTTTCTCCTTTGATACCTCGGCCACCATATTCACCCCCATGCTGTAGAAGCTCAGAGCTGTGGACCTCCAGTAAAGAGTCAAGGGGCCTCCCGGAGGATGAAGTGTGCCTCCCCAGCAGTCCAACTGTCTCTCTTTACAAGTGCTCCTGAGGTATGACTCATGCAAGGAAGAGCCAAAAGGATGG